CTGCACAATTTCTGTTCTCATCCTGAAGCAAAGTTCTTAATGGAAGGTACTATTTCTGGGTTAGTGGAGTCTGTAACCTGAAGCGTCTGTAACCCGTGGTACCACTGTATTTGTAAAAAGATTCTATTTTCCAATCATAGGAGAAACCTATGTGCATACTGTAGACTCCCCTTGACAGAGTTACCTATTTAAAACATTTATACTTTGCCCTTTATCAAAAAAGGCTCTTATAATGGCCTTTAAAAATTGGTTTTAAGATGGTCCCTGCCCTCCGGTACACAATCTAAAAAGATACAAATATGGCTGATGCAGTGAGTCAGGGTATTTGAATACTTTAATTACTTCTCCTTGGTATAACAGGTTCTATGTTTTGTAGCCCATTTTTGTTTAACCATTATGTCTATGCTATAAATACTTCCAGTCACTGCCTTCTATGCCTTTGCGTACCTGTGGTTTATTTGTTTTTCTTTTCTTTTATGTCTGCTTTTGTTCAACAGTGATCTACAATTGCGCATGGAATATGTATATTGCCATCATATCCTGTCTGATAACACTGTATTTTGTAGAAATTGGTATAACCTTTAAAAAAAGAAAAAGAAAAAAAAAGATACACAACACATGAGGAAAAATGAATGGGAGGGAGGAAGAAAAATAATAATGCCCAAGTACAAGTTCTTAAAGTTACAATTCTTAAGGGTACAGCCAGTGCCAGTGCCAGTGGTGGTTCTGGCAGTCTTGACAAGATGCCCTCCCTCAAACCAATGGACTGTGAGGGACAGGACAGGCAAAGATCTGATGGTGGATATAGCCCTGCTCTTCCCTGCCATGCAGTTGCAAGTGCAGTGGAGAGAACACCTGAGTAGGGCCAGTTTGATTTATATTTGTATTGCCATTTGCACTAATGGCCTGCTAAGGTAATTTTGCAAATGTAGAGAGAGCCCCCCAGGATTCAGGCAGCAGAGAAGCAGCCCTTCTCATTTAAAAACAAAACAAAAGCAAATGGCTTTTACTAATGACATGAAAAGCGAACCAAGGTCCTAAGAAGAGCCATTGGAATACCTTGCTTTGGTCCTGCGTATGTGTGTGGATGCTTTATGAATTACCCAGAGGCAGGTTTGAGGGCTGGTATCCCGTATTAGCAGTGGGTGAGCTTATGCATAGACCACTGGGCAGATCTGGCAGAGCTAACCTTTCTGTGCCAGCTTTTCCAAAGGAGGAGAAATGCTAAGAAGAGCTTTGCAAGATCTGCATGCGGCGTAATGAGACTTGGACAGCCCTTGCTGTTGCCTCCAGAACTATGGGTGAGTTTGCCGCTCCAGATAAATGAATATAATTACATCACTGCAGACTGTGGCGGAAATCAAGACCAGCTCCTAGCCTGCTCCAGAATGATAAAAGAGCAAGACATTAATAGTTCCCCATCTTAACTTCAGATAGACCATATTAATTAGGGGGAGAAAGGCAATGGGGGATTTGAACTGAAGGCTGCTGGCTCTCACTAATGGAAGCTTTAATGTGTAAGTTCAAGGCAGGACCGAAGCAAAAAAATTCCTCGTTTCTTGTGCCAACTCATTTTCATGGCAGGTACTCGTACTGAAGGGAGCCGTTGTGTGATTAAATTGAAAGGGTCTTCAAACTCAATTTCCCTCAGAATGGCAACACATTATTTATCCCAAACAGGGGTAGCCAGTGTGATACTCCTCCAGATGTGGTTGGCCTTCACCTCCCATCGTGCTTCACCATTGACTGCTTTGGCTGGGGCTGCTTGGTATTTGCCGCCTGAAACATCAGGAGGGCAACATGATTGCTACTCCTGATCTAAACATTTATGCCCCTTGCATACCACTTACATGATGTGCAACTTGCAGCAGTTAAAAACCACTATATGAACTGTAAAACACATTGTTATTTGAAGTCTGTGAAATCAGAACCACTTAAGTTGTGGTTCCATCACATGGTCAGAAGATGCCCAAGGCTACCGATTTGCAGAAGCTAAGCAGGACCAAGTCTTGTCAGTGCCTGGACAAGAGTCTGGCTGAAAACCTCAGCTTGGCCTGCTGTTTTCACTACAAGAATCCACACCTCGGTGTAAAATGTGATAAAACAGTTTTCTGGCAGTGACATTAGTATTTGGCACGTGTAACTCTGCGGTGCTCGGAGAACGGGGAAGAAAACGATGAGGTTGTCATCAACTCCCAGCAGTGACAAAGCCCTTAGGAGCAACATGTTGAATTCTAAGAGCCGAGCTATTTCCAAGACTCAACAACAAACAAACAAAGATCCCCTGGCATATGAATGTGCCCAATAATTTTTTTTGTGCCATCTCTGCATGTTGCCATTTCAGACACCAAAGCCTGCAACTTGTTCTTATTATTTCTTTAACTCAGAAAAGAAGAGGACCAATTTATCCTGTAAGTAATTTCCATTTAAAGCTGTAATAACACTGCAGGCGAGTTTCACATACAAGTGCTTTTTTTCCTTTTCCTTTTTGCATGTGAATGTTTGGAGAATCATTTTTAGATCTCCAGGAAGAATCTCTTGAGAACTCCTGTAAACAGAAATCTCCTGGGCATGGTGTAACCACTTCAGAGAAATACCATCCCAACACGTCGGTTCCTGGAAAGGGCAAAAGTAGTTTCCCAGGTCACTGACTGTTTGTTGTTAGGTTGCTATGAAAACTCAACTTGTGACTAGTCTAGATGTTCCTGGGTGCTGAACTCTGCTTGAGGTGACATTGTTTATGGACAGCTACATCCCCCAGAATGCTCAGCATGAGCAAGCTAGCAAGATGTGTGTGTGTGTGTGTGTGTGTGTGTGTGTGTGTGTAGTGCAGAAAAGAACAACAGCGGTGGTAGTGGTAGACTCACAGCTGTTGTGGCCTCAGAGTTTAATGCTTCCACTGGGATGCTTGATCGATAACTGAAATCACAAGAGAAGCATAATAACACTTGAAATTCATGCAGTTAACTTTATTGGAGGTCCGTGTCATTCAGGGGTAATTCTGAAATCAATACTAATGTGACTTTGCTGCAGCATACAGACAATTCAAGTAGGTTTGGCCACCCGTGCTTTTTGTACTTAAATGCATTCCACTCTGCAGTGGGAAATCATTATTTCCCACCAATCTCAGCAGTGGGTGGCTGAACACCAGCCAAACTGAACAATCCCTTTCCCCTCAAAGTAAGCAAAGGAAGTATCTGTCCTGCTTCTTCACCCTGTTGCTTAGCTTCCTGTGCTGCATAAAAGTGCCCAGCTATATTGGTGGCACCACACAGCACTGTTCTCTCTGACATGGCTTCTAGTGACATGGATCATCCTAAGAACCTCAGTTTTCATTAAGAAGATCAAGTCTCCAGCATGCTTGGCTCGGAATCAGAGACTGGCTCAGCATTAAGAAACCAAAGGGAAATTAGAAAGCTACCTGGTTATACAGGGCACTGTTTGCTGCACAGGGTCTTGTCTTCCTCCACAGTATCCAACCCTATCCTCCTGGCTTTATGAGCTGTAGCTCAGTGGAAGAACATCTACTTTGCATTCAAAAGGTTGCAGGTTCAATCCATGGCATTTCCAGGTAGGGATGGGAATTGTCACCTGCTTGAAACCCTGCTGTTGGTCAGCATAGTCAAAACTCTGCTAGGTTATCCAATGGTTATCTAATGCTCAGTATTAGGCAGTTCTCTATGTTCAGATTGCCCTGGGCATCTTTTTCCTTTTCCTAAGCCAAAGTCTGGAGGCAGATAGTAGTTTTTAGGAAAGTCTAATAATGGTTTGATGGAGCCATAGCTGCATGCAGTTGGACACAGACTTCCCCTATGTGAAGGAAGGACCACTGCTTTGCACTGAGAAGGCCTCAGGTTCATTTCCCACCATATCAACACGTGGCTGGGAAAGGCCCCCGTCTGAAACCCTGGAGAGCAGCAGCCAGTCTACATGGAGCCAGGTTGGAGTTAGCACAAGGCAGCTTCCCACGTTCCTTGCACAATATTCTCTCTCCTCATGCAGACTTGGCAGGTTTTGTGGAAGTGCTATACAGCTTGTAAGCAGAGACAATAGGTGCATGAACCTGGATCCATCACAGCACCTGCAGTTCTTGAGAGACGGCGGGCTTGCCTCTCTCTAATCAACATGGATAGGCGAAGAAGACATCTTGCTGCCTGAGGGAGAGCAGCAAATGATGTCCCCTCCAAGTCAAGATGCATAGCACTCAAGGGCTTGTCAAGCTCTTTCAGCACTTGAGGCAGAAAATCCCCTAAGCGCCTTTCCTGCTGCCTGGGTGCACGCGCGCGCGCACGCATACACACACACACAATAATAACAGTACATTAAATAACTAGCAATTTTCTACCCTCCCATGACATCCAGCTGTATTCCACGACCCCTTCAAGTGCAGTAAGACCAGCATTAGCAGCTGGGAAATTGGAGAGGCTGGGGAAGAAGGCTTGCCATCAATGCCAGACCCCAGTGCTTTCATTTTTTACTTCTGCCTGCCTCCTCTGGGGGAGAGATGAGGAATTCAGCTGTGAACCATCCATCCCGGTGAAATGAGCCTCTCTCCTTCAAACCATATATAAGCCATGGCTGTTGTGGCTTCTTAAGGGCAGCAAGACTAGAATTAGCAGTGCGGGTCATTTCTTTATTTAGTGCCGGGTTAATTTTGATTTTATTCTGTCCTGTGGAGTCTAGAGTCATAGTAATAGCTGAATTTATCCTACTTTTATTGAGTTTACAATTTTGTCACCATTTGATAAGCTAGGTAGGGTGGAATTCAGCGTGATGCTAAAATGATGGTTCTTTCGGTGCAGGCATAAATTGTGTTCCATCAAGAGCAGAAATACATTCCACCAACCTTCTGTAATGGCTTCTTGTGTTCTGATTGCAAGAGGCTCACTCTGTTGGCATATTTACCCTATGGCCATTCAGTCCAATTCTATGTAGAATCATAGAGTTGGAAGGGACCATGAGGGTCATCTCATCCAACCCCCTGCGATGCAGGAATCTTCTGCCCAACGTGGGGCTCAAACTCACAACCTTGAGATTAAGAGTCTCATGCTCAACTGAGCTCTCCAGAGCAGTACAGTGGTACTTCGGTTTATGAACTTAATCCGTTCCGGAAGTCCATTCTTAAACCAAAGCCGTTCTTAAACCAAGGTGCACTTTCCCTAATGAGGCCTCCCACCATTGGTGCCCTTCCACCGTTCGGCTTCCGTTCGTAGACCGAGGTAAAGTTTGCTAACCAGAACACTACTTCCGGTTTTGTGGAGTTCGTATACCAAATAGTTTGTAAACAGGGCTGTTCTTAAACCAAGGTACCTACCACTGTATGTCTGAAGATGTACATTTCCCCAGGGGTTTGTCCTACTGAATCCAGGGTGCATAGGTGAGCAACAAGTTTGACAGTCATTCCCTCTCTTGAGGCAAATGGTGGGGGCGCAGTTCTGTGGTGGGCATTCGGGATCTCTGATTGACAGTGCCCACAGGATTATTTGGGAGAGGCCATGGATGTGAAAATTGCATGAAACCAGTTGTATAAATAGAGCAGGGGTCAGCAAACCTTTTCAGCAGGGGGCTGGTCCACTGTCCCTCAGACGTTGTGGGGGGGCTGGACTATATTTTGGAGAGAGAAAAAAATTGAACGAATTCCTATGCCCCACAAATAACCTAGAGATGCATTTTAAATAAAAGGACACATTTTACTCATATAAAAACACACTGATTCCTGGACCGTCCGCAGGACAGATTTAGAAGGCAATTGGGCCGGATCTGGCCCCTGTTTGCCTAGCCATGAATATGTTGGGAAGCCTTCTGTATGTCAGCTGTGTGCTCAGAGGGTTTTCAGTCAGTGGTGTTGATCAATGACCAGCCTTCTTCATGTGACCCATGTGTCATCTGTGAATTTAGAGCCCCAAGGCATAACTTGCAAGTCAAAATCTTTTTCAGCCAGGCATATTTCTCTCAATCTGTGCTGTGTCTTACAATGTCACCACCATCTCCAGGAACTGGCAGCAGCCTGGTCTGCACTATGTGGTCCTGTATTAATTGTCACCAAAGTAAAAAAAGCTTATTAGGCATTCAGGATGTAAACGTGAAAGGCATGCCATTGTTCTTAAATCCGGCTATACATTATTAAATTAAGAGAGCAGAAGAATGTGTATGGTATTCACAAAAGAACGGTTCAAACCAGACTCTTATCTGAAGGGGATTCTACAAGGAATGAATGAAAAGAAAAAAAAACCATCTGTAGTGGATGTTAATTAAAAGTATTTGTGTGAGTTAGCACTCAATTCATTGTGGATGGACGCATGCTGGGAAATAGTCATTGGTTAAGGTTGGAACAGCAAGAGCCCTGCTTTGCTTTATAAAATAGGATGTGGGAAGGAGAATTGCCCAGGTGCTTTTAAACAAACTGATACCAGCACTGATAACATTGGCTCCAGAAGGAATATTCTAGGGCCAGCGGGTATGAGAATCAGAGTAATTTAGCACACTGCAAAGTAGCAAATCTTGCTAGGCTACAAATAGAGCCATGCTCATTTATTAAATTGAGCAAGCCTGAAGAAAGGTATGAGAGATGACAGAGGTAGCACACTTGGAGTGGAAGAAAAAGAAGAAGAAGAAAGGACTAATCAGATCAGGTACTTTCTGTGCATAGGATGTTCTTGCAAGAGGAACTACCTGTGTGGAGCTCTGCGTTTGTTTTGCCATCTGTTTACAGCTAAATGGGATTTATGCACATACTGTCAACAACCAAAATTGGATTAGGAGAAAAATAATTGTCGGTGACCCTCGCTTCCAAAAGGGACCTGAACCACTTCAGCTTGGCAAAGCAGAAACGGATGAGGTAATGCTTATCCTCAGCAATAGCTGTGGTTCTCCGGTCAAAAGTTCCTCTCTCCCAATTTACTAGAGGATCGAGATAAACTTGGTGCTTTCAAGATTGTAGTAACTGAAAAGTGAAATTAAAACTTGTCATGCTCCAGTCAGGTATATATTAATGGACCTCTCATTTCCACTGGGGTCCTGCTGTGGACCCAAACCCTGAAGCATTAATGTTTTACATACATGTGTCAATGACCTCAGTGAGAGTTCCAGTGAAGTTAAATTATCCTAGGCTATGATGTGGATTTGTTCAATAGGTGCTTGATTTAACTGAACGATAGCACAATGAAATCCATTGTGTGGTTATTTGTTTAGCCAGCAACAAAGGAGAACTCCTGCTCTTACTTTATTTTGCCATATTCGGAATTCTGATTGAAGGAACACAAGATCTGGTGTAGGACTGGTACATTTCCCCCCTGTTTTCTGAACCTTTAGCTGCAGCATGACTGGCAGAAATTTAACAGGTTCATAATTTCCCACCTTAAAAGGTAAAGGTAAAGGACCCTAACCGCTAAGTCCAGTCGCGAATGACTCTGGGGTTGCAGCACTCATCTCGCTTTACTGGCCGAGGGAGCTGACGTTTGTCCACCCGCAGACAGTTTTTCTGGGTCATGCGGCCAGCATGACTAAGCTGCTTCTGGCAAAACCAGAGCAGCGCACAGAAATGCCGTTTACCTTCCCACCGGAGCAGTACCTATTTATCTACTTGCACTTTGATGTGCTTTCGAACTGCTAGGTTGGCAGGAGCTGGGACCAAGCAACAGGAGCTCACCCTGTCATGGGGATTTGAACCGCCGACCTTCCTACCAGCAAGCCCTAGGCTCAGTGGTTTACACCACAGCGCCACCTGCGTCCCTTAGAGGTGCACTAATGAGGAATGCCCTGCCAAATGCCTGAAAGGCCACTTCCTTCCCTACAGACAACCTCGGGTGTTGCGATGGGCAAAGCAGACCCTATTGGCTGTTCTACCACCCTCAGAAGTTCCCTTTTGGTGGGAGTTGGAGTCTGACATCTAGAGAGTGTAGTAGGTTGGGAGAGCTGCCTTAAATTGTAGAGCTGGGTTAAAGATAATTCTGGGAGTTCCTCTTCCCTAGCTGTTGATCTCTTGCCCTTGTATCAAAGGAGAGAGGCCCCAGGAAGGAGTAGACAACAGAAGAATTGGACCATGTGCACTGCAACTTCAGGCTTCCTTGACACTAGAACAAGGATAGTGAATTTGCGGCTGTCTAGATATTGTCATTGGACTGCCACTCCCATCAACCCCAGCCTGCGTGGTCAATGGCCAGGATTGATGAAGGGATTTGGGAGTCTAACAACAGCGGGAGGTGCATGAGAGTGGCGTTTTGTTTTTGCACTGGATATTGCTGAGTGGCAACTTGAGTTCCCTCAGTTGTAGAAGTGCAGCTGAAGTTCATTTGCAGGTGCGGTGACTAATTAGTGCAATTGAAGCTGCCTGCTGCAGGAAAGTGGGGGAGGGGGCTCCCAATGCAGCCGAGTCTTGTTAGTGAGTCACCAGTGCAGTTTCATCTAATGAAATTCAGAAAGAGCAGGTTGAATTAGATTAGCTAATAGAATTCTTCACTTCTCAATTGAGAGGGATTCTGTGCAGTGCTTATTAATTTGCTGGGGAAATGACAGCTTGTTTGAGATGGAACCCAAGCACAATACACAGCGTTTCACTAAAGCCCTGGAACATTGAGGGAGCTTTCTCACTGAACATTTTAGTAGGAACGCTCCCCCCCCCCTTTTGACATATTGAAATGGTCCCCTTGGTCCCAAGGGAGCTGCTGGATATAGTAGTCCCACTGCTCCCCTCCCCCCAACAGAGCTAGTGGAACTGTGCTGGGGTCTCCCTTATCTGACTCTACCTATTGTTGGGATTCTTAGCTCTCGCCATTACTGCCACCCTTTTTCTAACCAGTCCTTCCTCTTGTACTTTTACAGCTGGTTTGTTCTGCAGACTCTTGCATGTTCTCATGTAAATGTCACAGAAATCTTTCTGCAGATTACACTGCTAAAGCCACATGAACAAACAGGGCAATTTTTATTCTGATAAGTTGGCAGTCCTACGATTTGGTGATTCCTAAATCAGGATGGACTCTTTCTGCTTGCCTATTCTTCACATTTAGCGAAGTGCATGTTAAGGTCAGAGCTTCTCTAAGATTCTTCAAGTGATGAGAGGACATCGTTGCAAGAGCAGATCATAGAATCGTAGAGTTTGAAGGGACCCAAAGGTCATCTACTCCCCCTCCCTCAATGCAGGAATCTCACCTGAAGCATCCATGACAGATGGCCACCCAATCTCTGCTTAAAAACCTTCCAGGAAGGAGAGCCCACTGAAAGAGAATCTACTACCTTCCAATTTATCGTGCATTAGGTATAACAACACATATTGTTGACCTAAAGGAAACTCTGAATGATGACTCGTTTGACAATGAAGTTGCTGAAAAATAATATGTACACCAGTGTCATGTGTGTTCTGAGTGCTAATTACTAAGGGTGGGCAGATGGAAGAGAGACCAGGGCTTCTGTACCTTTTAACAGTTATATAGAAGAGGAAATTGCAACAGGGGTGGCTTCTCTACACAGCTATCCCTTCTTCTATACAACTAAACATCTTCATGCCGTGTCTGCTGTAAAAGGAAGAGAAGGCCACTTTGGGTCAGGAGCTGAGATTCCTTGCACTTTCCCCATCCCCTCCAGATCTGAAATAGCTTGAATGTAATTACTTGTCAAATGCCATCAAATTACTGCTTATTTGACAAAAGTCTGTAGGAAAATTGAGAATGGGTACTGAGAATCAAAGGACTGCTTTGATTCACTTGCTTTCAGAGTAACCTTATTTTAAGAGAAGTGGTTGATTCGTTCTTGACAAGTTATTTTGCTTAAATGTTAGCATTCTCTGGGGTGGAGGATGTGATCGGATTACCATTCCATTGCAAGAAACATTGCACTGGTGGCCTGCTCACCAGATGCTGGGTGGTTTGGCGAGAAAATGGGAATGAGGGTGAGAATGATAAAAATAATAGCTTTAAATAATATAGCAAAATGGAGAGATGCCCCTGTCTCTGATTGATTTGCAGACAGTGTGTGCTATCATTAAAAGGCCATCACTGCCTCAGCCTGTACTGCTGTCCATAGCCATTGGGGAAGTTGCAAAGTCTTGTAATATCTTTGACAGCCACCTGCATCCC